GGAAATGACTTGAAAGCACACAACAACAACAACTTCTGGGTGCCTCTGTGTTTGTGTGGGAAGGGTTGAAGATCTGTGGGGGCAAAGGGACATAAAAACAAATAAATGGACTCAATGTTTCGAGAGGTTGTGGTATTTGTTGTCATAGTTCTTGGTTGTTGTTGGTTTTCCCCAAAAAAAATATGCAAACAGCATTTCTATCTTTGTTGTTGTGTGCCTTCAAGTCATTTCTGACTTATGGCGAACCTAATGCAAACCTATCATGGGGTTTTCTTGCCAAGATTTGTTCACAGAAGATGTACCTTTGCCTTTGGCTGGTTGTTGTTGTTGTTGTTGTGGTTGTTGTTGTGTTGTTGTGCTAACCGCCAGAGGGCACCATTGGCTTCCATTTTTTTCTTTAAACATTTAATGCTGATATTTGGGCCAGAGAGAAGAGAAGCATAATGTGATGGGGACAATTTGCTGCTAACTGGTGTAGGTTCGGGGGCTCCAATAGGTTGCTATGCAATTTTGGGATTTGTAGTTTGGGGAGCTGTTGAGCCTTCTCTGCCAGAGAGATGTGGTGTCCCAACAAACTACCATTCCTAGAAATCCATAGCCATTGAGCCATGGTTGTTTTGGATCGTTTTGGAGAGGCCTCAAAGCTCAAACTCCTTGTATCCCGTGGCAGTGAATTCCAGAGGTTAATTACCACTTTGAGCAAAGCAATCTATTCCATTGCATCATTAATCCGCTGCCATCAATATCATTGGATCACCCTGAGCTCTGTGGGATGAAAGATGGAGAAATATTTGAGTCTGTAAATCCTTTTCAGCTGCAGTCCTATCCAAACTTACCTGACAGTAAGTCCTACTGATCGCACCAAGTTGTCTTGTTGACATCTATAAGATTGCATCTCCTGGGGATTTTGGGAGCTGCAATCCAAAACATCTCAAAAGTCCAACATTCGTCCACACATTGCAAATGAAGAATGGATTCTTTCTTTGCCTTCAAATGTGGGCAGATTTACATTATAGGTGTCCCCTGCTTTTCGACAACCTGTTCTTTCAACTGTTCTAAATTATGTCCCTATATTGTATATATATATATATGGGCAGGGGGTTGGATTTGATGGCCTCTGGGGTGCCTTACAACTCTCTGACCTCATGTCTGTCCTGAAAATTAAGATAAAAATCAATTTTTGCCTTGCTGGAAATTTCCATCCTATTGGCCTGCCAGGATGGAATCCTTTTGCTTTTAAAATGTCCCAGTTTCTCTCTCCTCCTTCCACCTTTCCCCATTCTCTTCAGTTTATTTCAATTGCTGCAAACTGAACCCAAAATATAAAAATAGTTTGCACTCATTTATCTAGCTGGATGGAGAAGAAGTGTAATGGTCTGGGCATTGGACTAGGACACTGGGAGACCAGGGTTCAAATCCTGGCTCGGACATGCAAACCTACTGGGTGACCATGGACAAGTCACACTCTCTCAGTTCAGAGGAAGGCAAGGGGAACCCCCCTCTGAAGAAATTTGCCAAGAAAACCCTGTGATAGGTTTGCCGTAGGGTCGCCATAAGTTGCGAGCAACTTGAAGGCACAAAGCAACAACATGGAGAAAAGAGGAAAGGAAGACCCAAAATCTCGCCCTTCCCAGTAGGTTCAGGCAAAAGCAAACTGCAGCAGCCTTTCTTAGCTTGCATGTTTTTCCTCTTTAATAACTTTTTCCATCTTGACATTGCTTGGCCACACGTGTCCCATTTTTCATCCGTGAAATGTTGGAAGGTATAAAGATCTGTACCTGAGAAGAAGTCCTTGGCTGCTGGTAACCTGATGCTCCATTCCTCTGCATTTCTACCTCTCCTCTTGTTGATGGAGTGTATCTGCCACCTTCGCATTTTTCATCGCAACCAATGGGCCCCGCAATTAATGGCACAATGGACCCAGTTCTTTCCTGGGTTTCTTATTCCTTGCTCACAAGTCTCCTTATTGACACCTTCTGTCCGCAGGTGTATTCGTTGCCAACCCTATGCAAAGAAATCCCCCCCAGGAGCCTACCAGGACATTTTGAAATCGGAAAATTTGAGATCCATATATTTCTAGGTTTTGCAGAGCAAGAAACAAACTGTGGACAATCAATCAATCAATCAATTTTTATTTACAGTCAATAGACCCAGAGAGACATGCTATAGCAATAGCAATAGCAATAGCAAATAGCAAATACATTTCTATATTGTTTGTCAGTGAACTAACACTCCCTAAGCAGTTTACAGTGTGTAAGCTATACATTACTATAACTTAAAACCATATGAAATAGAAAGGTGACATATAACTTAAAACCATATGAAATAGAAAGGTGACATATAACTTAAAATTATAGGAAATAGAAAGATGACATATAACTTAAAACCATATGAAATAGAAAAGTGACATATAACTTAAAATCATAGGAAATAGAAAGGTGACATATATCTTGCAACCATATGAAATAGAAAGATGACATATAACCTAAAGCCATATGAAATAGAAAAATGACATATAACTTAAAACCATATGAAATAGAAAGGTGACATATAACCTGAAACCATAGGAAATAGAAAGTTGACATAACTTAAAACCATATGAAATAGAAAAATTACATATAACTTAAAACCAGATGAGATAGAAAGATGACATATAACTTAAAATCACAGGAAATAGAAAGACGACATATAACTTAAAATCAGATGAAATAGAAAGGTGACATATAACTTAAAATCATAGGAAACAGAAAGGTGACATATAACTTAAATCATAGGAAATAAAAAGGTAACATATATCTTAAAATCATAGGAAACAGTAAGGTGACATATAATGTAAAACCATATGAAATAGAAAAATGACATACAACTTAAAATCATATAAAACAGAAAGGTGACATATATCTTAAAACCATATGAAATAGAAAGGTGACACATAACTTAAAATCATATAAAACAGAAAAGTGACATAAAAGGCACAAGTAGTTTACATCAAATTAAATTATCAGATGGGGTTACAACACTGGAGATTATTACTGATTATATAAATTATGGATCTAAGGTATATTGCCATTAGCCAGGCCCCTTTTTGGTAATCCGTCCTCTCTCTCATTTTAACAGCTAGAGACAAAAAGTTTGCGACAGATGGGGAAAATGTTCATGCATTTGTCTTGCAACAAACTGTGGATGGTAAGAGCTGATGGCAAAGCTGGATTTGTGTCACCATGGAGCACAACGAATTGCAATCTTTAACTAAGGAGCATGTTTGTCCATATTAATCTTTAATATCCCATCTGCAGCGTAATAGGTACGCTACCATACTCAGAGAAGTCCTATTGATTTATTATCTTAAAAAAAACAACACCTGCTAAGGGCACAAAATGCAGTTGCTACTGAATGTATAATCCTATGCACACTTATTGCCTATTGCATTCAGGGGGAAAAAAATAAGTATTTTTTTTTTGTTCGTTTATTTTACAAAATTTCATTCCTGTCATGGCTAGTTGTTGTTGTTGTTGTGTGCCTTCATGTCGTTTCCAACTGATGCCGACCCTAAGGCAAACCTATCGTGGGGTTTTCTTGGCAAGATTTACTCAAAGGGGGCTTGCTTTTGCCTTCCTTTGAGGCTGAGAGAGTGTGACTTGCCCATTCTGGGTTCCCATGGCTGAGCAAGGATTCGAACCCAGAGTCATAGTCCAACGATCAAACCAGTACGCCACGCTGTCTGTCTCCTGCTTGTTGTGGCTGCTGTTATCTATTTGGGCCAAGAAGCCAGGATTTGGGGGACGCATTCTGCAAACCAGAGTCCTCATTTCCTATTCAGGAGTCTGACTTTTTTGTCCTACCTGATCTATAATGGGTCCAAATGTCTCCCCCATGACCCATTGTGAGAACACAATGAGAGCCCATGGTTTATTGATGGCTCCTGGGTAACACAAGCCAAGAGAGGTAGGTGGCTCGAAATTTGACCAGGCGTGAAATAATTCAAAGATGTAGGGAAGGGGGGCCGAAAGCGTGCGCAGGTGCAGAAGTGACCCTTCGCTCTCCGGCCCAGATCTATAAAGCGGTCAGTTTCCTCAAGCCGAGAGAGCATCCCACCCCAAGGACACCTCTCTCCTGCTGCAAGAAAAGGAATGGCCACCTTCGTCCCGGTAAGAAACCCCCCACCCGTCATAGGTTTGCTGTCGTTGTGTGCCTTCACATCATTCCCAACTTATGGCAACCCTAAAGCAAGCCCATCATAGGGTTTTCTTGGCCAGATTTGTGCAGAGGAGGTGTGCTGTTGCCTTCCCCTGAGGCTGAGAGTGTGTGACTTGCCCAACGGGTCACCCATTGGGTTTCATGGCCGAGCGAGGAATCGAATCCCGGTCTCTAGAGTTGCAGTCCAACACTCAAACCATTACTTATTCTGTTTGCAGTGCATCATTATCTCTGGCGATCAACACAGGCCAAGGTTTGTTGTTGCTGCTGTTTTTGTGGTGGTGGTTGTGCGCCTTCAAGTCATTCCCGACTTAATGGCAACTCTAAGGTGAACCTATCATGGTGGTTCCTTGTTCAGAGGAGGTTTGCCATTGCCTTCCCCTGAGGCTGAGAGTGTGTGACTTGCCCAAGGTCACCCAGTAGGTTTCCATGGCTGAGCAGGGATTTGAACCCTGTTCTCCAGAGTCATAGTCCTACACTCAAACCACTGCGCCACGCTGGCCTTACGGCAAACCATAACAACACCCAAAATCCACAAAACAATAATAACTTTCTAGGGCCAACTAAATGCACAAAATACATGATCACAGAATCCTAGAATTGGAAGAGACCTCCACAGGTCATCCACTCCAGGCCATTGCCTTCCCCCGAGGCTGAGAGTGTGTGACTTGACCAAGGTCACCCAGTGGGTTTCACGGCCAAACGGGGAATCGATCTCTGGTCTCTAGAGTTGAACCCTGGTCTCTATAGTGACTCTAAGGTGGGATTTTCTTGGCAAGCTTTTTCAGAGGGAGGTTGCCGTTGCCATCCTCTGAGGCTGAGAGAATGTGACCTGCCCAAGGAATATTTTGCCCTGCAGGAATATTCTTCCCGTTCCTACACCAGCTAGCCCTGGTTAGAAAGAATTTATTGTGCTTTTCCTTATGGTTAAAGAAACTTTTATTATTATTATTATTAATCAGGGCTTCAGAAATATGAGAGAGCTATTTGGTGAAGCTGGAGGCATTGACAGTTATGGCCTAAGACTAGCTTTCTGAAATGGATGTAACAGGAAGCCAATTGCTATCTTGGATGAACTGATTGGATTGATTTGCATCTGAGGAAGTAGACCAAGTCTTTGAAAGCTTATGCTACAAAGTCTTTCACTCCATTCATCTCAAAGATGTTACAAGATCCCTTTGCACTTGGACTGACTGACTGATGGAAAATTAACTGGTATATATATATATATATATATATA